ATTACCAAAATACCCTACAACAACCAATGTAAAAATAATAATAATAATAAATAAAACTGTTTAGTAAAATTTATTTTATCAAACTGAAGGAATAAATTGGGAAATTTTGTAGTTAAATAATTAAATACTATAAAATTGTTGATATTTAATAAGAAAAATAAAATATATGGTTTGCGAATTAAATTTATAAATTATATATATTTGAGGATGCATAGCACTATTGTTAAAATAAAAGATTAATTTAAAAAAATACCATATGATCCTGAATTATTTTTTTGAAAAGAAACACGATATTCTAAAAAAATATTTATATAAGATAAAATCATTGTCTTAAGGAGTATTCTTAAAATTAAGGAAATTAATTAAAGCTTATATTCTTTGACTCGACACATGTCGCCATTGACCAAATTCTTACCTTTCATAACGGTGGGTCCTCTGAGCCAAAGCTCTCCGGTCCGGTTCACGGGCAGAGGCTTGCCAGTTTCCGGGTCAACAATCATTGCCTCAGTGCTCGGAGACAAAAGCCCCGCCGTGCCATACCGGCGGCTCTCCTCCAGAGAATCAGTGGAAGCTCCTATTCCGGTGGACTCCGTCAACCCATACCCCTGAAGAATCGCAACATTCGGATATTTCTCAACAAAACCCTCAATGACCTCCTTCCCCAGCGGCGCTCCGCCGGACAACGCCGTGTGCAAGGAGCTCAAATCGTACTTGCCCTTTATCTGCTCGGCGGCGTTCACTAGCGCCACTAGAATCGGGGGCACAAGTGGCAGATACGTTGCCCTGTACTTATCAATCGCAGACAACATCTCATGAATTTCGAATTTGGACAACACGATGATCGTGGATCCTGAAGACAGCAGCCCCGTCGCGAAGGCCACGAGTCCATAGATATGAAACATCGGAACCGTACAGATAAAAGTCCCTTCCCCTTCGCTTAATCTGAACCTCGTCACGACCACTTGGACCATCGCAATTAAATTTTTATGAGACGACACTACGCCCTTGCTCGCCCCTGTCGTTCCAGACGAATAAAGCAGAGTCGCTGTGTCGTTTTGCTCAACCCGTTCTTTGATTCTACTCTCACTGGGTTTTTTCCTCATCATTTCGTTCAACGTGGACACGATTTTGACTGAGGGGGTTTGAATTTCGCCGTCAATAAGGACGATTGGCAATTTGGAGCTGGCGATTTTGGGGAGTAATTGTTGGGTTGTGAAAGCTAAAATGGGTTTTGAATCGGCGATCTGCTTGGCGATTTCTTGGGGAGTATTGAGGGGATTTGTGGTGGTGATGATGGCGCCGATGGACATGACGGCGAGGCAAATGATGGGGAAGAAAATGGAGTTAGGGGAGAGGAGGAGGATGACGTGGCCTTTTCGGATTCCCATGTCGGAGAGAGCAGAGGCGACGGAATCGACGGATTCCCAGAGGTGGGAATAGGTTATGTGTTGGCCGGTGGTGGCGTCGATGAGGGCGATTTTGCCGTTGTGAGGGCGGGAAGAGATGAAGGTCGTCGCATCGAGGGATTGGTTTGGGGGGAGAGGGATTGGGTGGCGCTTGCTGTGGAAGATTTTGGTGGATTTGCAGAACCCGCTTCTTGGATCTATTTCGCCGCCGTGTTCCGCCATCTGGTTGCCGGAGAAAAGGGAATTTTGTAACTGAGCTTTGAGATTGATTTTGGGCAGTGGGGGATTGAGTCGGAGTTGGCTTGTATAGAAGCTGAGGAGCCGCCGTCGTTGACGAGCCAAACTTTTTCTGTAAACAATAATAATAATACTAATATGTTCTAACTTGTTTCCTTTTAAATTGAAATAATAATTTAATTTGGTTCAGTATCCCGACAAAAATAATGTTGCCAAAAATGAGTAAACAATAAAGTTTGTTCGTTTTTTGGATTTTTCTTTGTTTAGGCCGAGTGTAGCTTTTATCCATATTTGTGATCCGAATATAACTGGGCCGAAGGAAAAGCCCATTCACTGATATGGGCCGTTATTAGATGGGCCGAAAAGAAAAGCCCATTCACTCATCATGGCCCAGTTTTGGAGCCCATTTTATCAGCTTTCGGGTCGAACTAAGATGCCACGAGGGATATTTGGTAAAAAGAAGTAATTGGATTTTGAAGCATACACGTGGATGAGACGCTAACGCTGCTTGAATCTATGGCGCGGATTCGAAGATGAAATCCCGACCCATTTCCCTTCACATTATCAAACGAGAAGAAAGTGGATGCAATTTCTCCGTTACTCTCTTATAAACGCTCTTTTCAGCAGATTGAATTGAAAAAATCCTCTTGAGATTTTGGAAGAATTATGGCTTCCTCCGCCACTAATCTGCTTCTATCTTCATCCTTCTTCGGAACGAGTATCTTAATTTCTCCTCCGACTCCGAAAACCACCAGATCGACGACACATTTGTCTTTCATTTCGAAGAGAAAGGTTGTTGTTACGCGAAGCATTCTTAGCGAGAAGCCCAATTCTGAACACTTGAAATCGATTTCATCGCAAGCTACTTTGGCTGCCCTAATCTTCTCTTCGATTGCGCCACAAGCTTTGGCGGTGGATGACGCTAGCCCTCCGCCTCCTCCTCCTCCGGTGATTGAAGCTCAAGCGGTGAGTCCCAGTACTTCATCTTCCTCGCCCTTCTCTCAGAATGTTCTTCTTACTGCTCCGAAACCTCAATCTCAATCGGTTTCGGACCTTCCCGAAGGTAGTCAATGGCGGTACAGTGAATTCTTGAATGCGGTGAAGAAGGGGAAGGTGGAACGAGTTAGGTTTAGTAAAGACGGCTCTGTGCTTCAGCTCACTGCCATCGATGGCCGTCGTGCCTCTGTGATTGTCCCCAATGACCCTGATCTTATCGACATTCTTGCTATGAATGGTGTTGATATTTCTGTTTCTGAAGGCGATACCGGAAATGGGTTGTTCAGTTTCATTGGTAATTTGTTGTTCCCGATTTTGGCTTTTGCTGGATTGTTCTTTCTCTTCCGCCGTGCTCAGGGCGGCCCTGGCGGTCCCGGTGGACTAGGTGGGCCCATGGATTTTGGAAGATCGAAATCCAAGTTCCAAGAAGTGCCTGAAACTGGAGTGACTTTTGCTGATGTTGCTGGAGCTGATCAAGCTAAGCTTGAATTACAGGAAGTGGTTGATTTCTTGAAGAACCCTGACAAGTACACAGCTCTTGGAGCTAAAATCCCAAAAGGTTGTCTCCTTGTTGGACCGCCCGGTACTGGAAAAACTCTTCTGGCTCGGGCTGTGGCCGGTGAGGCTGGTGTGCCATTCTTCTCGTGTGCTGCCTCAGAGTTTGTAGAGCTGTTTGTTGGTGTGGGTGCTTCGAGAGTGCGAGATTTGTTTGACAAGGCCAAGTCCAAAGCTCCTTGCATTGTGTTCATTGATGAGATTGACGCTGTGGGGAGACAGAGAGGGGCAGGTCTTGGAGGTGGGAATGACGAGAGAGAGCAAACAATCAATCAGCTCTTGACTGAGATGGATGGCTTTTCTGGTAATTCCGGTGTCATCGTGTTGGCTGCTACAAACAGACCAGATGTTCTTGATTCAGCACTGTTAAGGCCCGGTAGGTTTGACAGGCAAGTCACTGTCGACCGTCCTGATGTTGCCGGGCGGGTTAAGATTCTTCAGGTCAGTGCATTGGAAACTCTTCTTGGTTTAAGTTCAAAGAAATTGTAATAGTTTCTGGGTTTGAGCTAATAAGTCACTTGGGCTATTGGTGTGAAATTGATGTGTTGCAGGTGCACTCAAGAGGGAAGGCCCTTGCTAAAGATGTTGACTTCGAAAAGATAGCAAGGAGAACCCCTGGCTTCACTGGAGCTGATCTGCAAAACTTGATGAACGAAGCAGCCATTCTTGCAGCCCGGCGCGATCTTAAGGAAATCAGCAAAGATGAGATATCAGATGCTCTTGAAAGGATAATTGCAGGGCCAGAAAAGAAGAATGCCGTTGTCTCGGATGAGAAGAAGAAATTAGTTGCATACCATGGTATATTATATTGATCATCATTGTTCTGTGAACTTCAATTCTCTAGCTTTTTTAAATTTATTAACAGTTCATTTTGTTTTCCAAATGCAGAGGCTGGGCATGCTCTTGTTGGTGCGTTGATGCCAGAATATGATCCCGTGGCGAAGATATCGATCATTCCTCGAGGCCAAGCTGGTGGACTTACCTTTTTCGCTCCAAGTGAAGAGAGGCTCGAGTCTGGATTGTACAGCAGAAGCTACCTGGAGAATCAGATGGCTGTTGCCCTTGGAGGAAGGTATATATCATTTATTCAAACCATCCGTGTGATGACCCTAATATTTCATTGTCTGGCATATTACTCATCAGTCTTTTATGACAACTTTTACAAGTATCAAATCATTCTTTTACTTCAATTTGTAGCCGATTGTTGTAGTGTTGAGTTATTTAGAGCTTATACTCGATTTGTATTCAATGGCTATTGCAGAGTGGCTGAGGAGGTGATATTCGGAGACGACAACGTGACAACGGGTGCATCGAACGACTTCATGCAAGTTTCTCGAGTAGCAAGACAAATGGTCGAGAGGTTTGGATTCAGTAAAAAGATTGGACAAATTGCGATTGGTGGACCGGGTGGAAATCCGTTCTTAGGCCAACAGGTATGCTCTAATACCGTCACTGAATTCAAAGGTTACCTTCATATTTTGACGGACTGACTTATAATGAATGTTTTTATTTAACTTGCAGATGTCATCCCAGAAAGATTACTCCATGGCAACTGCAGATGTTGTGGATGCAGAGGTTAGGGAATTGGTAGAGAAGGCATATTCAAGAGCTAAGCAGATTATCACGACCCACATCGACATTCTTCACAAGCTTGCACAACTCCTTATCGAGAAAGAAACCGTGGACGGGGAAGAGTTTATGAGCCTCTTCATCGATGGAAAAGCTGAGTTATATGTTGCTTAGAATACAGATATTGACACGGCATTGTATTATAAACGTTAAACACACAGATGAATCAACTAATCATTTCACAAAATTGCATACTACTTAATTGATAACTTACAGATCCCATGGTATGCCGTTTTGCCTGATATCATCCCCAACTGTTTTGTTACAACTTAGAAGAAGAAGAAGAAGAAGAAGAAGAAGAAGAAGATGGAAGTAGAAAAGGAGTTATAGATATTTAAAAAAAAAAATAGACCTAAGAACTTGAGAGAGTTGAATATTCAATACGCTCTGCCTCTATGCCTTCTCTTCTCTAATGTGCATGCTTCATTCAGCATGTCAGCCGCATCCTTTGGCATTCCAAGCTTAACAAGGGCAACAGCCTGCAAGTAAAATGCAACGTGCCACTCAGGGTGAATCAATTGTGCTTGCATAGCATCTCTAAGTGCAAAGTCTGGCTGATCACACAGCAGATGACAAATACTTCTACGTGCGTAGACTGTTGGAGAAAGTACATTGCCCACATCAATGAACTGCATGCACATAATACCATGAGCAATAGGGTCAATCTTTGAGCACAGAGCAACACAAAAATCACTATCATCCAAATATTCTGTATTTTCATGGTCACGAGATATATAGCTCACCGTGGTATAGCCATCTATTGCGCCTTCAAAATCTTTATCTCGAAATGCGATGTCACCTCGCTTGCGTGCCTCCAACATGTCTCTTATCTGTTGCGTCCATTCTTGGAAGGAAAGCTGCATAAACCCAAATGGAGAGGGAAAATTTTAGCATTTAAGAACTATGAACATTCGAAGTGGGAAAAATGTCAGCCATAGAGCTGGTTTACTTCGTAGGATCCATCATCGTCTTTATAGTGTGACAGTAGCAAAAGCTGATGAATGGCTGTAAGGTCCACTCGAGCACAAGCATCACCCATTTGAGATAGAGGCTGTTGCGACACCAACGGTATTCGCTCTTGTTTTGGGATGCCCAGCATTTCATATGATGGAATCTATAAGCAAGAATTTATCACTTTAGAAGCTAGAATACTGATTAAACTGGAAAATTTTGCTGTCCTCAAAACAGAGCAAGCAAGCAAGCAAGCAAATTCTCCAAAATGAACATGAACCAGAGCCTGCAGAATCTACAGTTCATCAGCACCTAGTTGACAAATGAAAACTACAAAGACAAGAACTCATAACATCTAATCACGCACCACCAAAAGTCCTCAAGATCAAAAGGGAAGCGCTTACATCAGACTTGTTTTGGAGGGGGACGAGTGCTGCAACAAGTTCTTTAATACTTGGTCGATCCATTGGCTCATATTGCAAGCACTGTGAAGCAAGCTCAAACACTAAAGTCGCCTCTTCAGTTGAAAACTTCCCCTCCAAATGTGAGTCCATCAACAGACTAATGTGTTTACCCCCTATCATATCAAGTGCCTGCATACAAGCCGAGTAGTTGCTATTGACATTCATAACATATCTCAAGAACCCCAAATTCTTTGATCAAAGCGTACGTACTTGATTTGGAGGGACATGCTTTCCACTAAGAAGATCTAACAGGATAGTCCCAAAGCTATAGATAACGCTTTCAGGAATTACAGTTCCTGAAATAAGCACCCAATTATGACAGTGAATCAATCCGAAACAATGGAAAAGTAGATGATCACAAGCTTGTTGGTTTCCTTTAAACTTTGGCATGGATATCATAAATAGAAGAGGAAAAAAAAGCAGAAGAGGAAAAAAAAGCACCATCTTTTAGATACTCTGGAGGTGTATAGGCAAGATTAGTGCTGTAGCTCTTCCCATCCATGCTGTTTTTCATCAACCCGAAACACGATAGCCGAGGATCGCCGTCCTGCAAAATCTCTACAAATCAACACAGCAAGACAATATGATCATAATAAAAAAGGGGGGTTGTTTGTTAATTGACACTCCACCTCGTCAAATAGAACTCTGTCTGCATTCAAGTCGTGGTATAATGGACGTGCTGCTTGACTGCAATATTCTAGTGCTTCAGCAATGTATAGAGCAACTCTTAAACGCATTGCCCACTCAATGGTTTGTTTCTCCCCTGTCAATGAAAGAAACAAAACATTGCATTCATTATCCAAGTTCTAAGGATCCACAGCCAGAATTTCATTATTTTAGGCATTGAAGATTTGAAGAACAAGAAGGACAAACACAGATTGAAAGTTACAGTGGAATAAGTGCTTTGCAAGGGTGCAATTGGGCATGTATTCCGCAACAAGCAGCCTTTCGTCGCCCTCGCAGCAAAACCCGATTAAATTGGCGAGTCTTTTGTTTCTCAATTTCCCCACACCATAGGCTTCCGCCTTAATCAGAGTTCATCGATAACAGCATAAGCAAATATGGATTAAGACACCAAATCAGAACCCTAGAAATTGAGAAAAATGAACAAAGCGTGCTTACGGCAAACTGTTTGGCGTCCGGCCACGCAGCTTTGCTGAATTTTTTAACAGCAATACACCCTAGGTTATTCTCTGTCTGGAGACGCCCCCTGTAAACGACATTAGGAGCTTTATCGCAGATTTCCGATACAATATGATCGGAGCTGAAGTTGTTAGTCGCCGCCTTGAGGTCGGCGAAGGAAAACTCAAGGAACGAGGGCGCGCAATCACCCGTCTGCGGGGCGGCTTCTACTTCATTCTGATGGTGGTGGTTCTGGTGAATAGAATTATTGGCATGGGGATGGGGATGGGCATGGGCATGGGGATGGGCATGGGCATGGCCACGGCCATCGTCATCGGCAGAAGGTTTTTTCAGTTGAAGTAAGGAAGATAGGCAACAGCCCATAACTCACTCGATTCGACTCTAACCTGCAAGCGGAACTCGAATTTTCAGTCAGAAATGAAAACCAGAAGCGGGCGGAGGAATATTGAGAGAGCGGTTTGAAATGGAATTTCTAGAAAATGCGCTCGTTGGCTTGTGAAGAAGATAGAGAAAACGGAGCTAATTTCTGCAGGTTCATCGTGGTGTGATTGCCGTCGTTGTCTCCTCGGTGGCTCATTCTGTTTCTGTTTCTTCTGTTCACTCCCAGCGGCTAACAGAGGCATCGTCTTCTTGGATTCTTCTGCAAATGCGTTGTCGTAAGAGAAAATGGTACCAACATTTGTTGTAACTTCCCTTCTATTCCTTCATTAAAACAGCTAAGTTTGTTTCAACGGAACACAGCTTTCTCCTTTTCTTCTTCAATTTCATCTTCATCTTCATCTTCATCTTCAAACACCTTGGAAACACTATTTTTTCATAATTACTCCAATTTAATTTTAGTTTGCATTAATTTCTCTGTTCGTCTTTCTAATAATATCATCCTCTAACCTCTCCCATATTTCAAAGTGTTGATCGAATGATAATCACTAAAACAAGAACCATATTCATAACCAAAACAAGGAAACAAGAACCATATTCAATGATTGCCGCCATGGATTTTGTAATTTAATTAATCAACTATGCATGCAACTTGATCAACAAGAGTGGAGAAGACGTGTGAAAAAATACTTAATGAAATAAAGTTTATATCTAAAGATATGAATCATTATCCACTAATTTTCATAAGAACAATGAATGAAATAGACAAATCAAATCATCGCTTCCTATAATGGGATGGTCATCAAAACCAGATCAACTGTACAACACACACCTTATAATTCTATATATATATATATTTTTTTTTTCTAAATTAGATTTGTTTGATTTTTCACCACTTTTTTTTTTTTTTTCAATCTCTCGTTTTCCTCGATAAAATCATGTGGATATTTAATTAGTATAGTAATTTGGTGTATAAAAAATTCCCTTATTTTTCCGATGCTTGTTGCTGTGACAGAGCGTTTAGCAGCGAAACTCTGGCACTGATCAAACTTCTGAATACCTTCTGGCTTCGAGTTTCAATGTCGCTAAACCAATCCTCTGAATCTCTCATCTTCTTCATCGCCTTTTCCGTTTCTTCTTTTCCTTTCTTCTTCAATTCTCTCAATTTCTCAGATCCGATGTCTCTGAACTCTCGAATCCCTTTCTCCTCCTCCGCTGATTTCTTTGAAAGGCGATCCAATCCTGTCCACGTCCATGGCTTCCTAGTCGAGAACGATTCTGCGATTCCGTTGAGTAGCGCGAGAGAAACCGCCGTCGTCACCCCGACGACTTCTTCGATCACGGAGGCAAGATCGGCGGCGGCGGTGCCTTGTTCCGCCGTTTTGATTTTCTTCTGTAAGGTCGAAACCAGCTTCGCCATTTGCCTAGCTAGTCTCTTCCTAGCTTTAACATATAAAGCGATCTTCTCTTCGTCCTTTCTCCTCATCGCGGCCTGCGCGGCGGAGTGCTCTTCTTTGAGCGTGAGAATCAAAGTCTGGAAGATTCCGTAAACATCGACGAAGGTTAAGAAATGTTCGAGAAGCTTATTGATCCAGTGCGGCTGGTGGCGGAGAGATTCTTGAGTCTGGGGGAGGTTGAGAACGTCGTCGAGATGGTTGTGGACGGTTTTGAGGCGGTTCAGGCCGTCGCATATCCAGGCGGCGGTTCGGGAATCCAAACTAAGCGACCAGGATTTGAGATTGGCGATCTCATCCTTGAGTTGAAAAATCAAGGGGTGCGATCTACAGGGGAGACTGATGGAACGGACGTGATGAGAGAGGGCGGGCTTGGGCGGAGACTTGTTTGGAAAAGAGAAGGATCGCCGGAAAACGCCGACCATGGCTGTGATTTTGATGAGAGCGGAGTGAGGATTTAGGAATTTTGGTGAGGAAAAGGGGAAGGGATTTTTGAAGTATATAAAGGGGAGCGGAGAAGGCGTGGAATCTGAGAGTGGAGAGAGAGTGAGGTGCACGAGGGAAACCAAAATTTATCAAACGTATAACTTCCTTTTTTCTGCGGTTAATTAACTTAAATTAACCTTTATGTTTTTACTCAATTTTAACTTTTAATTTTGTATTTAATAAATTTATAATTTTATATCTAAAATTTTTTGACATTGCCACCAAGAAAATAATTGATAAAAACTTAAAAGAATGGATGTTAAAATTTATACCAGTATTTTCAAGTTATTCATCTTGGCTTGTTTAGTTTTATGCAATTCTATGTTCGATCACTTTCTACAAAGTTTTTTAAAACATATGTGAGTAAGGAAAAAATATGTTAAACTGACTCGTATTAGTCTAATGTTGAAATGTTGTCATGTGCGGGAGAATATCGAAATCATAAGGTGTTGAATCCAGATTCAAAAATCTTATTTAAATTCTCCTAATAATTATGTAATTTGATATAGATTAAAAATATGCGACAAATGTCTTTTTTCGTTGAATCATATTTATTTACCCACCAATCATTTTAGAATTCTTACCTTTGTATTACTAAAATTTAGCGGTTAAAAAATCTATTTAATTTAATTTAAAAAAATGAATCTATTCCGATTAAATAAGGGCGGCTTCTAAAACTTTAGGATGTAATTTAATTTCATTGGTTTCGTTTTATTAAATCGAAAATATAAAAGCCACCTGAATAAAAAGTTTTAGCCTCCAAGAAAGAAAGAAAAAAAAAAAAAAAAAAA